CCATTGGTGGAGAAGTGCTCGTTCCATGCCTATTTGTCCTGCCTGCTTAGCAGGTCAGCTTCTCACCAGCTGTGCCTGCCCATAGGCCTAATTCACATTTGCATTTTTCACATGCGAGGAGAATGAAGACAATCTGTTTGGGGTTCGGCATTGTGTTTACAGTCGCATTGCACACTGGAAGGTCGCTCTATTGGGGGAATGGCTTCCTAACAGGTCACTGATGGAGTCACCATGGAGAGCCTGCTCTGGGGACAGATTGGGGCACCCGGAGCCTCTTGGAGGCCAGGCTTTTAGTACTGCGTTCAAGAGGCCAGCTGTCAAGCTCCCATCTGGAAAGAGAACCTTGTGACAAGAAACCACAGCTGTCTCCAGCTCACACATAGCCAGGGTATGAGATGAGTGATTCTGAAAGAACAACGACCCCACCCACCAAGGAACAAAGAGTTTCAGAGCTGCAGACCTCAGAGGTGAGGGGAAACTGAGGATTGGGGATCAATTGGCTGGCCCGGCACCCAGGACTAGCCTTCCTGCAATCCCCCGGGGAGCCAATATTGTCCTCAGCTTTCCATCAAGGAGGAAGATGATGAACGCAGCCCTTGTGAGAGAAGATGACCCTGCCAGAGAGAGACCCCCAACAATCACTGAGGAGGGCTGTCTGACCCAGCCCCCACCCCCTGAAACCCCATCTGTCCCTCCAATTTGGCCCCTGGGGGAAGAGCACTGTGACATTTGATCACCCCAGAGGTTCTGAGGTTTGTGGGGCTCAGTTTATCTAATCCTTACAACAGCCTGGCAAGGAAAGCGCTACCCACCGTGGACATCCCCATTTTGTAGATGCAGAAACTCAGACTCAGCGGCTTGCCTGCACCCACACGCCTAGCCAGGGTCAAAGACACCTGTGAATCCGGCTCTCCTGACTCCAAGATCAGCCACTAGCCCCTGGGTCAGTTCTCCCGGGAAGTCTCTATCAGCTTCTTCTCTTCGTCAGCCTCCTGACTCCCCAAATCTAACTCTGCCCAGCCTCAGTTCCTGAAGTCTGTGGGACCCCTTGGACTGTGAACCCAGCCTGCTCTCAGAGAGCATATCTCAGACAAAGTCTCAGAGCCACTTTGCTAGAGAAAGCATTCCCCCTTCAGTCCCGGACTTGGCACGAGGGTAGACACCTCCAGAGTCTCCGGCCCTAATCCTGTCCCAAGCTTCAGTGCCCCATCCCCAGTGCCTGAGAGGTCTCCCCATCCAGAAGCCCCCTGTGTCACCAACTCAGCGTGTCCCAGATGGGCCTCATGACCTCCCAGCCTCCGCCTTCCTCTCCTCCCACCTGCCCTAAGTCTACCGAGGTCACTCACCCAGAGTGGCCACACTGAAGGCATCCTTGATCATCCATCCCTCCCAGCATCTCCAATCTGTTGCCAGTCTCTGTCTCCTTACAGCATCTTTCACACACTTCCCCCCTCTCCACTCCCACAGCCACCGGCCCAGTGGTGACCTTCCTTCCCTCCCATGGACCTTTGCAATGGCCTCCTACCTGGCCTCCCTGCCTCAGGACTTCCCTCTCCAGGTGCACCAAGCTCCTATATGTACACACCCTGGCCCAGGAAACCCCAGGTAACCCTCCTGCCTCGAAGCATAGGTGGGCTTTGCCTCTGGCTTCTACAGACCTTCACAGTGGGGTTTCTGCACATGAATCCCCTTCATGTATGATACATCTCAGCCAAACTAGCTTACTTTGGGTTTTCAGCAGAGGACAGTCACCTGCCCCCGTGTCTCCCCCTAAGCTGTCCCCCATACCTGTAATGTACCCCTGGCCCCTCACCTCGGCCCCTTAGAATCCCTGGCTTCCTTCCACATTCCAGGAAAGTGCCCCCTCCTCCAGGAAACCCTCCCTGATCTCTCCCAGATGCTAATGTCTCCTCCTTAAATTACTTTGGGTCAACTTGGTAGATACCTGAACCTGATTTTCTAGGTACCTGCTCTTTCCCCCAGTCTGGTGTAAGTGCCTTGGGGCCAGGGACTGTATTGTTTTGATTCTGTATCCCCAATATCTAGCACAGTGCCTGGCACATAGTAGGCCCTTAATGAATACGAACTGGATTGTATTCAAATGCTTTGGCTTGGAGAGGACAGGAAATGCTTCCCCGGCTGCTGCTCACCCTCGCTCCCAGTCTCCATCCATGGGATGATTTTAAAAGCCTTGGAGAGCCCTTTTAAGCCACTAGGCTCTCTTAGAATAAGTGGGGGTTCTGCAGGGAAACACTCCACAGCTCCGCCTCCAGAGCTCTTCATTCTAAAGATGATTGGGAGTCAGAAGGGCTGGAAAACCTTGAACCCCAACCTGGCCTGCTGGAAGCTCCCTCCCTCCCTGCCCCGGGGGCGTCCCAGCCTCAGAAAGCCTGGGATGGCTCAGGGGCCAAAGCCACAGCCTTATGGGCCATCTGCTGGCCAGCAAACGTTCATCCGCTGGAGTGAGCCTCATGCATGTCAAGGCAGAAAACCATCCCAGGGAGGGCGGACAAACTAGCCCCAGCCTTCAAGCTCAGGCTCCCCAAAATGAGAGGAAAAGGCCTTTTCCAGGACTGCATTTCTGGGCTCCCCAAACTGACGTCTGTGCGCGGCACTCCTGGATCGGCCTGCATCCATCCTTTGATCCTGTTGGAAACACGCTTGACACCTAAAATTTAGCATCAAGAAAGTTTATTACAGAGAGAGTCCAGAGCATTAGGCCTTTCTGGCCAGAAGCAGGCTCCACCCCTCTTCAGGAGGGATGGGCCCAAGTGCAAGCGCAAGTGTGCTTTTATGCATTCAAATTTGGGAGTGAAACCTCCCAGGCCCGGATTGGTCCATTCCTTCCCGGGTTACACCCCTCCTTACATGTTTCCCCTGGATATGCTCAAGTATGTTCCCCCTCCCTCGGTCATATATCCCATGACTCGTTAATGAGGCTCTAATTTTATGCGGGGTGTGTCAGATAATAGTAATGAAGTTCATTAAGCAGGCCCACTAACATTTTTCGGGTGTCCTCAGGTTGACCCTTACTGGTCTGAGCTGGCTCAACCTTATCTTGAATTTGCAGTCTTTTTAGAGCCATCAGCTTACTTCTTATTGGTTAAGCCCTCGCCTACCTACAGTATCCTACTTCCTGGAATTGTGCTTTAAATCTCTGCCTTATTCTCTTTCTCTGTGGAAATATAACCTTTACCTGACTCTCACAATCCTAATCAGGGGACATGTTTAGAAAAAAGAACGCTAAGGCTCAGGGGGGAAGCACTTCTCCCAGAGGTCCCGGATAGGAACTGGCCTCCTCACTCCAACACCTTCCTATTGACTTTGTAGAGGAAGTCAAGGTGTCCTGGAGAATAGCCAGGAGGCTGAGCCCCCCTCAAAGTCTCCCTCCAATGTCTCCTTGTGGCGTAGACATAGCCCTGGGTTCTCGAGATCAGGCCGGTGGGGCACCAGCTCTGGTGGACTCTTCCCAGATGGAGAAGTCACAGGATGTGACTGACCCCCAGGTCTAGCCTTGCCAAGCTCACCACCAGCAGGGCAGCCCATGGGTCATGAGATTTGGGGAGGTAGTAACCCGTGAAACATGTAAGGTGGACCTTACCCACGCACCCTTACTTCTCATGGCTGAAAGGGGCAGAAAAAAGATTTTTGGTATTCAGGAGGTCAAGCATCAGGGCTACCTGCATGATTGTTGGCTCGCCTGAGCCAGGAAGCAGATGAGCCCTTAGTTCATCCAGAAAGTTGGGGGAGGGATGGGCTGTAGAGACTGACAAGGGTGAGTCCAGTCACCTCTGAAGTTCTAGACTGGACCTAACCCAGGCTGGTCCCTGGTGTTCCTAAGTGCAATGCTGGAACAGAGGGACTCAGCTGAGTTAGCAAGGGAAGAAAGTTCAACAAGGAGAGAACCCAAGCTCCCCTGCCTCAGAATTGCCTTTGTGGTCTGCCGGCCAACCCTCGGAGCATGCATGGGGTTGGTTCCTGTGGTCTGGCCAACTTGTGTGGATGTGTGTCACCGCTCGGCTTTTCACATCAGCCGTTGTGAGGATGCACAGCGACAGCAGATGTGTTGATTTTGAGATGTCCTAGAACAGCTAGGGCACCTAGGGACACCGAACCTGGAGTCAGGAAGACTTGAGTTCAAATCCAGATTCAGACACTTAGTAGCTGCTCCGTCTAAAGGAGAAACTTCCTCTCCCAAACTCAGTAGCTACTGATCCCAGAGAACCACCTACAACACAGAGACAGGCAGGGCCTTCCCCAAAGCCACCCTGCCAGCAGGGGCGGAAGGAGGGGTCTGAGTCCGACATTGCTGCCCATGGCCCCAAGAGCCTGGTGCTAATGTTCCCTGTAAAAGTCTCATCTGACTCCTCCCCACCCCACCCCCACTGCCTGGTATTTATCCTGTACCTGGTACAGACTCCTCCCCTGGCCCCAGGGAAGCTCCTCTGGGGCAGACGCTGCTTTGGCTTCTATATCCCCAGGCTGGTGCCTCATTAGCACCTTCTGTGGGGCCTAGGAATATCAGAGGGCAACCTCCACCCACAAAGAGTCTGTGGGAGGGCTTGGTCGAGGGCTCCAGAATGAGGAGCAGCGTCTCAAATGGGGGCGGCAGGAATGGCCGGCCGGATCCACATCCGCAGCCTTGTGGGCAGGTGCCAGAGATCTTCCAGTGGACATGGTGGCCTCATCTGCCTCCTCCTATGACCCCTCCCCCACCTTTGCCAGACGTTGGAGCTTCCAAATGTAGAACCTTCCCTGGGACAATGGAAAGTCAGTCCTGGGAGGGCAGGGCCACTTTCTGCTCCCCTCTCTGGCCCCCAGAGGCCAGCCAATGCCCAGGGGCTCCTCTGGGGGGGGGGGGGCACAGAATCATTCTGGAGGCTGGGAGTGGGCTGGATCCTTAACTGGACTTCTATAACAGAAGGGAAAGATGGGAGTGGGATGCAGCAAAAAGAAGGGGGTGGGCTTTGCTCACAGCTCCTGTCTCTTTGCTTTTCCAGGAGAATCGGTGCCGTCGTGAGACTCACCATGGAGAAGTTCTTGTGCATCTTCCTTCTCACCGTAAGTACAAGGAAATGGTGGGTCCTGGGCCCCGCTCTTCAAAAGGGTGAGTGTTGCCAAGTAAGCCTGCGATGGCGTTGGCAAGGACGGCCATTGTCTACCAGAAACGTAAGGCTGGGCAGGACCCAGCAGCCGCACAGTCTGACCCAGACCTGACGGGGATCCCAGCCAGTGATCATCCACTCTGCTCAGAGACTTCTGCGGCACCCAGCCCTCTTTAGACTTCTCCTTGTCAGTGACGTCCAGCCTAGGTGGGTCTCCACACTCAGCAGTCCAGTCCTTTGGGGCCAAGCAGGAGTAGTCTGATGCTTCCTGCACGTGAGTGAATGAATGAAAATAGGGACAAATGAATGAATGAAAAGGCATCTATTAAGGGTTTACCATGTGCTAAGCACTCAGAGATACAAATATAAGCAAATATGCATCCCCGCCCTCAAGGAGCTTACAGTCTAATGGGGAAGACAGTACATAAAGTGACCACACATAGAGGAACCCATGAAAAGTAGGGGGAGGAGGGGAGCATAGCTGAGAAATGTCCAAGAAATGGCATGGAAGCTGGGTGCCTCCCCATACACCTGAATGGGAAGGCCAGAACTGAACACAATGCCCAGCTGCAGCCAGAATGGAGCACAGCCAGCCTGGATTTGGCACTCCTCTGAATGCAGCCCAAGGTCATGACAGCCTTTTGGGTCCCCACCTCACCAAGGCTGAGCTTGAAGCCCAAGAAATGTCCAGGTCTCTTTTTAGAACAAGGGCTGTGTAGTCAGGACTTCCCTATCTCACACTTAGGGCATTGATTTTTTGATCCCAAGGGCAAGACTTTCCATTGATCCCTCCTGAATCTCATCTTACCACATTCAGCCAATTCTTTAGCCTGTCCAGGTCCTTCCGGATGCTGACTCTGTCATCCGGTCAGTCAGTCAGTCAAGCAATAAGAACTGGTTTTGCACTGAACAGTGGAGTTACAAGAAAATAGGCAAAAGCTACCCCTGCCCTCAAGGAGCTCACAGTCTAGTGGGGAAGACAAGAGACAAATAACAACATCTGTACAAGCCAGACACGGTACAGACGGGACATCATCTTAGAGCGAAGGTGCTGGGCTGGAGAGGGGAAGATGGCATTTGACCTGAGTCTTGAAGGAAGCCAGGAGACAAAGTGAGGGTGGAGATGGAGTTGGGAGGTGGAGGCTGGCATCACTGGAGTCTAGTGGATGTGAAGGGGAGGGAGGCAGGAGATGACTGGAAAAGGGGAAGGCGGCCAGGAGGAGGGCCTGAAATGACAGAGGATTTTCCATCTGCCCCTGGCAATGGTGGGAGGTGATTTGGAGTGCATTGAACGGAGAAGTGGCGGTCAGACCTGTACTTTGAGGAGATCCAATTGACTGCTAAGTGGAGGATGGACTGGAGCAAGGCAGATAGACCCCGCTGCAGCGATGGCAACGGTCCAAGTGTTAGATGAGGGGCCTGCACGGGGCTGGGAGCTGCCTCAGAGGAGAGGACGGGGCTCGTGCAGGAGAGCAATAAGGGACCCTGACACACAGTGGAAACAGGGCCAACCTGGTCATGAGGAAGATGGCGGCACCCTTGACAGTCATGGGGAGGTTGGGCAGAGGGGAGCTGGGGTTTGTGTCATCTGTGGATGTGATGAGCCTGCCACCTATGCTTTCTCTAAGTCACTGATATTTAACCGATATTACATAGCACAAGGCCAAGCACAGATCACGTGGGCTCTGGGCCTGAGTTCAAATCCAGTTCCAGAGGCTTCCTAACTGTATGCCCCTGGACAAATCACTTAATTTCTCCCAACCTCAGTTTCCTTGTCTGTAAAATGGGGATCATAATTGCGCCTCCCTCAAGGGTTGTTATGAGGATCAAAGGAGATAACACGCTTTGTAAACTTTAAAGGCCTCTGCAGGTGCCTGCCACTATTGCTGACTTAACCATTGTTGTCACTCTCCTGCACGCTTCCTGATGGTGGCCCTTCAGAACCCACCAGTCAGTTCTGAGCCCCCCAGGCTGCTGGTCCAGTGAGCCCCCAAACCTTTCCACAAGAATCACATGAGGCCTCTACCAAAGACTCTGCTAGCATCGAAACACTCTCTCTCCACAGCATTCACCCCACCTGTTAGCTTAGTTGTTCAGCTGTTTTTCAGTCGTGTCTGACTCTCTGTGACTCCATTTGGGGTTTTCTTGGCAAAGATACTGGAGTGGTTTGCCATTTCCTTCCACAGTTCATTTTACAGATGAAGAAACTGAGGCAAATGGGTGAAGTGACTTGCCCAAGGTCACACAGTTAGGAAGTGTCTGAGGTTGGATTTGTACTCAGGCCTTGCTGACCCCAGATCTGGCATTCTGTGTACTACGGCACCCCCTAGCTGCCCACTAGTAATCCCGTCCAAAAAGGAAGAAGGCAGTCCTAGACCACCTGACCTGAATCTCACTGTCTCTTCAATCACTGCATCTTCTTGGAGTCATTCACCAAACATCTCTGCAATGATCCAGCCTAGAACTTTCCCAGCCCTCCAAGCCAAGTTTGGAGACGCCCAAGAGGCCTTTGGATGTGAAGAGGCATGGTTTCAAATTGTGCATTTTGTTCAAATAAGGGTCAGTTTGTCTTACAAATGGACAAAGGTCATTCCAGATTCTGTCCACCAAAATCAGCGCTACTCCTAGACAGTCTGGATTTCAACCCTTCCTGAAACTGTTGGTCATTGGGTGAGAAAACAGGTGAGCTTGGCCTCATTATCATGTGAACCTGGCCCCAAAAGGAACAAACCAGCCTGGCCCCAGAAGGAACCCCTGAGCCTGGGCTCAAAACCACATGAACCTGGCCCCAGAAGGAAGGGGCTAGCCTGGCCTCAAAAGGAAGGGGCTAGCCTGGCCCCAGAAGGAAGCAGCTAACCTGGTCCCAGAAGGAAGGGGCTAGCCTGGCCCCAGAAGGAAGGGGCTAGCCTGGCCCCAGAAGGAAGCAGCTAACCTGGTCCCAGAAGGAAGGGGCTAGCCTGGCCCCAGAAGGAAGGGGCTAGCCTGGTCCCAGAAGGAAGGGGCTAGCCTGGCCTCAGACCTGCAGAAGCCTGGCCCCAGAATGCTGAGCTGCCTCTTTACAGAGCAAGTCCTGCCCTGCTGTCACCTCAGGGTGTTTTTCTGTAAAGATTCTCCCTGGATTTTCTGGCCCTTTTAGTTCCCAGACTCTCCTGGGTCTGCTCAGCTGCGCTCAGCTGATGAGATTTACAGAGCAGGAGAGCTGAGGTCATTTTGCACCCTCCGACTTTAGTTCCTCTGGGTCTTTGTTTTTCCCATGCACAGCTGGCCAGCCAGATAATTTACTGCCTGAAGCAGTTGTCCAGGCCCGGGCAGAGCAGTCTGGCCAAGGCTGGCCAGCCGGGCCAGCTCCACCTAGCTCCACTTTCAGTGACACCCTCAAGTTCCAGCAGATTCTTCTAGGATGATGAGGATGCTTTCCTGGGCACCATGTTGTTGGCAAAGGAGATGCAGCGCACACTGGCTTTTGCCCAAACTCAGAAACTAATGAACTCAGCATCAAATCGCATTGTACAGAGTTGTCCTGCCATCATCACCCACTGGGCCCTTGTTCTTTTGGGAAACATCTTTCTACTGTGAAAACCCTTTTGGCATCGGGGAAAGCAAGGGCTTGGTTGGCCTGAAATGGAATGGGCACATCCCAACAGGGGGATGAGGTGAGGGGACAAGACATTCCTGCAGGGCTAGAAATGGAAGATTCCCCAAAAAAGAATGGGAAAGTGGAGTCAGTCCTGCCTGGTGAGCCCCACAGCCCAGGACACTAGTTCTCAGTCACTGTTTCCCAGGGTGGATCTGTGCATTTCAATGGGTTTTGGTAGCAGAAAACTATCAGCAGTGTAGACTTAGTGCACGAGGTGATTTTAAAGACAAAGATTTAGGCTCGTTGTCTTGGAATTGCCTGCCTGTTCCAGGCATGACAATGCAGGGTTTCTTTTGACTAGTTCTGAACATTTCAAAGAACGCCAAGAATTTTACCTATTTCCCAAAGCCAGGAAAGGACATTCAGAGTCTCGGGGTCTCCTCCCTGCTGCTCAGAGCTCTTCTTTGCCTCATTCACTCCCCTTGGGGACGCCCCAGCCTGGAGCTTGGGCAGGTAATGCCTCCACACTGCCCCTGGGGGCACTCGGGCTTCCTGGAGGTGTCTGTATAGCCCCAGCTTCTGGCAGTAGCCTCAGTGGGTTTGGGAGACCGAGGCAGTGTCTGTAAAGCACTGGGCAAGCCTTAAGGATTGTACCAACGTCCACCATCATTGGTCATCAGTATTGTCATCTGCACATTTACGGAGTTTTGCCACCTTGGACCAATAGCAGATGTCACAAATGTTTTCCAAGATTCCGTTTGGTCATGAAGATTACATTGGTCTGGGGTCGCTCTGTCACGTCCTGTTTGACCCACTGCTTCCCACTTCCTTGGACAGAGCCAGGGCAGTTGGAGAGGGCGCAGAGTTGCATCGAGGCGAGGGTTAGTTCCAGCAGTGAGTTGCCTGGGAAGTGGCAGCTCCTGCCCCCTTGGCAGCTCTATGCCGAGGCTGAAGACACTGGCCATCAGGTCATGAAGCTAATTCTCCGAGGTTGCATCTGGCCCCGGGGAATAGCTGAGGCAGGCGCTAGCCCCGTCCAGCTCTGAAATTCTGGGATTCCTGAGTCTGTGGGAACCTAAGTGTCTACCAGCTCAGAGTCCCATGAAAACCTGATTCTGAGATTGTGGACTGGAGACAACTTCTTGGGACTGACTCCCCGGTGCCTCTAGATGCCTTCCCTGCCCTCCAGGAGCTTACAGTCTGATGATGAAAACAACAACCAAACAGCCACATACAAACTATAGACAGGATAAATAGGAAATCATCCACAGAGGAAAGGCAATAGAATTACAGGAGGTTGGGGAAGGCTTCCTGTGAAAGATGAGATCTTAGCTGGTCCCTGAGGCCAGGGAAGCTAGTCTGCAGAGAGGAGAAGAGAG